GGGGGGGAGGGGAAAGTTTGTTTTCAGCTGTCTGTAGTTCTTTTACCGCATTCTTATTATTCCAACCCTCGCTCCCTGTCATTAGAGAAAATTAGTAAAATTCGACTCTATCACTTTCATCCCTCTGGGGAGGAAAAGACATTTCAATAGCATTTGTCCACAACGATTATGCTCCTGTTCACGGTTCTGCATTTTCTCTCCCCTCCAAAAAGCAAAGGCAGGAGGATGAGAAGGGATCGATTTTTACCATTAGGAGAACTTTTAGCCAGAGGAGGGAGTTCCAGTTGATTAGAACATTACTAGGGTGGCAATCCCAAGTTAAAAATAGATTTTAAATACATACTTTAAAGCTTTTGGGGGTAAATCTGCACGTTTTTAAAAAATATGGGTGAATCCCCCGGCTAAGTAGAATAGAAAATGAGGTTAGGATGGGGCACTCCTAGAGCCCTTATTACATCTAATCTCGGGGTTGTAATTAACATCCATTCACTAAACCCCAACAATCAGCAAAAAGATACAAAAGCCAGAAAAGTAGATGCTCCCAGTTCAAGGATTATGTTTTGAAACACTTTAAAAGAGGAAAGTCACTGACACGTTGTTTGGAATAGAGAACAATGAAAAAAAGGACAAAAGAAATTATCTTGAGCCATGAGTTTTCTGTTTATGACAGGTTTATCTGCTTAAAAGTCTCCCGTTTGCATTTACTTTCACTAGCCTGAGCCTCTCTCTTGCGTAATTCTGGTCCCAGGGGGAGTTTAGAAGGGGCCTCCTTGGTCTGCAGCATCTTCATCATTGGCTAAGCCCTCAAACCTGTCTTGACTTTACCACCTTCACAAGATTTTCTCTCCAATTTCAATGAGAAGTTTAAAATTGAGTGATATTGGAGCCCCTTTGACTCATGGCAGACTATCCTGTGGATGAGGCTTTATTAAATTCGACCTTTGTTTCATTTTAATGTCTTAAATATGAAAATTATCCCTTTGCTATATTCTTGTAGCCTAAGGTGCACATTTAGCAACAATTTAATAACATGATGTAAAATACGGGCCCTCCTCCTAGAAAAATGCATAAAAGCACACGAGCATACACACACAAGTAATTTTTTACATAATTTCAGGAGATTCATGGATTCACTGAAGCCTTTTCATAGATATTAGGTTATAAACCCCACAAAACAATTAAACTGATCACCTCACTGGACCACAATGCACCCATTTATATGCTTAGCACATAGTTAAATAAATATTTGTTAAATGAATGAATGAGTCAGATCCTCCTAAATTTTCCACTTCACTCTGTAGTATTGTGGGACAACACATGGTTTATGGCTGAGAGGCAAATAGATGAACTACAAGATGAAAGTAACCTCTGTCTGATAAAAATAATCAAATGAAAGTTATTTCTATAACTGAAGAATGTTTTAAATAGACTTAAGTTAAAGAAAGAAAAATATACATATTAAGGGGCAATCAGAAAACATTTCCTAGTGACCATTATAGCATTTGATTTTCTAATGAGAACAAAGTGGTCTGATTTAAAAGTAAGATATTTCTATTCCATTTAGTTCCAACACTGGTCTATTCCAGTACACACTTCATTTGAAAGATTATATGAAAAAGAATCTGACAGAAAAGTGTGTATGGAAAGTTAAGTATTTTCATGCATTTTCATATTTTAAACATTAGTAAGGTAGTAACTTAAACAGGGCTGGAAAGAGGCTTTCTTGTTAGGGGAGGGAAAGAGGAGTAGAGGAGGAAATAACGATTGATTCTAATTCTGATTGTCTTAAGCCACTGGACAGCACTGAGGAAATTATGCTTTAAAGGCTTTATTCAATTAGGACACTTCATAAAATGAGTTGGTTAATAATTCTTGAGGCTTATCATTATCTTCCTTGATTTTGCTCATTTCACTGGGCAACTTTAAAAAATGAATTTGGATGCAACTTTTAGTTAAAAGCAGGGAAGGATTGCCATAAAGTAAAAGTCATCACGGTGGGGTCCATTGTGTAATACTCCCTACAGAAGAATATTCATTTTCATCATCTTTACTCCCATACTATCATTATCAAAACCCCTAGGTTTGGAGAGTGATTTTCTACCTAACAGCCCTTTTGTAGCCAGTCTCTCAAATGAGCACTATTTTTATTTCATTTAGGGTGATAATAAGTTACCATATATGATGACATTTGCTTGCAAACTCTGGGGAGATAGTGTCTGCTGGGTAACTGGAAGGACTCCATCTATTTTAAACTACAGAGGTTGGTTCATGTCTTTGGGGAGAAAGCAAATGTATTTTAGACTTTGTTACTTTCCTAAATTAATTCACAACAGCAGCTAAGAAGGGAATCCCTCACCCTCAGAAATTTCATAGTCTCTGGAAGAAGAGAATAGTTTGAACAATAAGAATAAGTACTCTTAGTGTTTTTTTGTTGCTTGGGCATGGAAATATGGACCTTATGCTTTACCTGAAAATGTCCAAACTTCCTCATTTAATCTGGTTTCATCATTTAAGGGGAAGAGAAAATAGGCTGGGAGGAGACAGTTCAAGGAGGGGGACGCAAAAAGAGCACCAGGAAATTCAACTTTGTTTCTCTTTGTAAACTGTGCAGTCAGTATTTTCCCCTGAACTATGTCTTCTTGGGGTTTT